CTCTGCCAATTCAGGAAATTTACAACACTCTCACCTCTATTTGACACTTCCGCTTCTTTATTTAAGCCTTTTTTTATTTTACTTCCCTTGAACTCAAAAGGAGTCAGTTAATAATAAAGAAATGGTTGAATTATAAACACAAAATTTTTTCTTAGACATTTGAATTCACAGAAAATTCTGCGCACACTTCACCCATATTTTTAAAGGGTGACTTTTTTGCTATTATCTTTTTGGCAACACTGGCTTAAGCAGCTGACGCACGTTCCGTGTTTTAAATCACTGTCAAACATCTTCATCTTGGTCTATAATCTAACCAAACGAACAATGTTTATGGAATGGTGGCATCATTGGACCGTACTTCTGCAAAATGATGCAAATCGTAGCGTAACTGTGAGTGGTAATCATATAAATTTTTTTTGGCCAAAATATTGTACAAGAGCTTGACTTGCAAAACAATAGACTTATTGAGAGGCGAGTTCGGTGAAAATTTTATTTCACGTTCGAGACCGGTAAATTGGCCGCCTAGATCGTGCGCTTCATCGCCTTTAGACTATTTTTTGCGGGGTCTAATGCCTATACAGACAAGTCAGCTTCAATTGACACGTTAGAGGACAACATAGAAGCATTTATTCGTGAGATACCGGCCAAAATGTTGGAAAGAGTCTACCGAAATTGGACTAAGCGGATGGACCATTTCAGGCGCAGTCACGGTCAACATTTGCATGAAATAATCTTTAAACATTAAATTATATGAGCCACACTAGCGATTCAAATAAAGATTTCATACATTTTTCGGAATCGTATTTGTTTATTTAAAAGCTATTCTATATCTCTTTCAAAATCACCCTTCATAAAAAGATAGAGAATATAGAAAAGGGCTGTTTGTATATCTCATACAGCTCAACATTCCATTTGTTCCACTATTCGTAATTCCTAACTCGTAGAGGACTTTAAATCGTACGCAAAAACCTTTCTCTGGAACTCCTAACGCCGACTCAGCAGATGTTGTCAGAGTTTTGATACCAAGCTCAGACATTGCGGCGTAGACTTAATTCTTATTCGTGCGCTCGGAGGCCGCATAAAAACCGACGAAGAGGTGGTGTGTGTTCTTCACGGCTCTGGTTAACATTTGATTTGCTTTCATTAGACCGTACTCTGCTTGATGATGCGTGCACTTTGTGAGCCCTTCACCGCGATAGAAGAGAATAGGATAGCTCTGCCGGTATGCCGTCAGAATGGGAAATCGGTATTCAAATCTCGTCATAGTCTGGTAGTGGAGCATCTTTTTCATAGTCATCGATTGGGATTTCGGTTTCACCATCTTCAGGTCTATCATTTTCACTGCCACAGTGTTCCCTCCATAAATTCAGTACACTCTGGGCATCCGTCACTAGATCACCTCTTTATGTTCTACAAGAGCCTGCTACGATCTTGGAACCTACTCTTAACCGACGTATATATTCATGGAGTTTTATAGTATTACTTTTGTCCTCCAGCTTCTCAAGCTTTTCATACTCACTCATGTCGGCCTCTTTGTTCTTTTTGTCTCCAAATGTATCTTGCTTCCCTTTTCTCTTCTCGGTATCTATCCCATCCTGCAATTGATGTGTTTAATCGAAGCATTTTTGACTTCAAACCATCCTTGTATTTGTTGACGAACGTTATCTGATGCACAGTGGCGGGTACATATCATCGCTGCACAAAGATATTGGGCAGAGTCGATGGTAAGTCTTCGGAGTGTACGCTCGTCAAGAACACTGGATACATGTCTTCCATCTATCACAATATGCTCGATCTGGTTTTGTATTTTTCGATCAGGGGACAGCCAAGTAACTTGATGTATTTTCATGTGTTGGAATCTAGCACTACATAGGCCCCGGCGAACTTGATCAGTGTCAACCCATCAAGGAATATTTCGTCGCCGATGCTGATTTTCCGATAGTTGAATCAAATATACCTTCTTTGCCCAAGGTGGCATTAAAATCCCCAAGCACGATTTTCACATCGTAGCGGGAGCACGGCTCATACCAATTAAAAGGCATATTTGGCCAAATCGTCCTTCTCTTCCGTTGTGGGCGCAAATCAACGATATGTTGAAAAATTTCGCTTTGATGCGAATTGTGGCCAGTCGTTCATCCATCGGGGTGAAGCCGGTACTCGAAGACGGAGTCTCTCTCCTACCACAAATCCTAAAAATTTTGCGTTCATTTATGTTGCCTCTATGATAAATGTCACAAGTCCCGTCCACCTCACTTTTTGGACGGCGGTGATGTCAGCCTTTATTCTTGCGAGGACATCAACCAGTTGGCAGGGGCCCGTTCCCAATTGAGGGACTGGACATTCCAGATGCATGCAATCAAATCGTAATCCTTGCGGGGGTCGTCATCAGAAAGAGGGTATCTCATACGAGGGGTAGTAAACTTTTCATTGGACCTGATTTCTACGTAGCGGGTCCCAAGCCCAGCGCACAACCTCAATAAGCGATTAAGCTTACTTTTTTTTACACATTTATTAAACGAGCCGCTTCAAAACCGAAGTCCGCTCGCAGCTGAACCTCTGGTGGACTGATGTGGAATTCGACTTCGGCGGACACTTAAACCGAGTAAGTCGGAGTGGTTCCGCGCGGATTGGTTACCGCATCTTGCCCACGTTTTGCTCACATTTCCAGAGTACGCGACGCAAGAGTGGAAATTGAGTTTAGCCCGCTACTGCAACTGCATATCCCTTTACACCTCACTAATCATGACCCATAAAACCACAATTAAGTTTGGTTTTTGATTTTAGCTTCTGCTGTATATCATATGACATGCCAATTTGGATCATCATGGGTTAACAGAGTCAAATATCAGAGTTGGATGACTATTTTATGCAACCAATTATCAAGTTATAAAAAATATGAAAGAAATTTTTGGATTTTTAAATAATAAAATTATTAAAAGCAACATGTATTATTAGGAACAAGTGTAAAAAAAAGAGACGAACTTCTCGTGAGATTGGTATCTACCGTGAATTGGTGCTTCAAACAGCCAAGAAATGAATTAAATATAGTGAACATTCATTTTCTGATTAATTAACAAATCTTAAATCTTACCTTTTGTAACCTTGTCAGAACCAAAACGATTTCAATCGTTTCAACAATGGCAAATTCTTTTTAAAAGAGTGAAATTGAATCTCGAGGCAGAAGTACTTATTCCACTCCAAAATTGTTTAAATCTTCTTTTTATTCGCTTCGACGTTTTCTTCCTCTAAATTAAATGAAATATAAAAACAGTCTAAAATTGTATCAAATTTGGAAGCCAAAGTGTCAGCTACCTCCACGAAAAAGTGTATTGTTTCTGGAGTATGACTAATTCAGAGTGCACTTTCATATAGTGTATGTTAATTTATTTAGGGCGGGCATTTGCTGATTTACGATTATACAATAATTATATTTTACCATTATTATATAACTTTACCTCAACACTAATCACGAAGTTTCCGATTAGGCTTGAAATATATGTGTAACAAGTGTGAAAAACATTGGGTTGGTGGAATCATCAAGACGAAAACTTAGACGTATCAATGCCTTCTAATCAATTTTCGTATCATAGATATGAAAAACGTAGACAACTAAATCTTTGTGGCATTATATAACTTATTTACCTTTTGAGTTTATTAGTCCAGAACCCCAATGGGTGTGCTTCGAATTGCAATCACATCCAACTGACCAGCTATTTCTAAAATGTTATTGACTGTTATTACGAGTCGTGGGGACAGTAGATTTCAGTCAAAATAAGGACTACACCTTTTTAGGATTGAAGCTGATAACCATATAATACAAATAATAGACATTTCAGTTTCTTAGCAGAATTCAATTATTAAAATAATTATGATTAATTATGTAATCTGGTTGCTATACAAAATCAATATTTTTCATATTTTCATACATAGAAGTTAAAAGAAAGTAAGACACAAAAACTTTTAGGTTTTGCTGAAATAATTTCTTCTAAGTAAATGGATAGTTTATTCTTGTTTAACCGCCTTCAATTATAACTAACTAACTGTAAATTAAATATTTTATATTCCAGTGAAAGTGATAGAAGAATTATTACTAAAGAGCCTAGTAGGGAATGACATAAAATTAAATATTTTTACAATTGTAGTATTTAATTATGTTAACACTTAGTTGTCGTTGCCTTAGCTAATAACATTTGTAAATGGCTGAACAGGCTTTTACGAACGAAAGAAAACTTAAGATGTACCAATGTCATACTGAATTATATTATATAATATATGGGAACGATAGTTATATTACAAAGTTAGACTTCTTTATCACCTGCCTCGTTAAATATATGTATGTTTAGCCAGTGTGGTAATTAATTTATAAGTATTTCCTGAAATGCGTATGCCTGTGTGTAATTTTTAATTATATAGTAAAGTATGGAGATATATTTTTTTGGATTATGAAGTTACGCATATACCATAATACCATAATCTTATATTTAGTGCTCTTACTATTGTAGTTTAAAATAATATGTACGTAAGTAAATGATGCCTTTACATTATTATAACGTCCTATTTCTTTTCTTTTTTATTTCTTTCCATATATTTACATGCACTTGCCACTTAAAATAATGTTCTATATAAACCATGATACCAACAACTTCGACGAAATAAACACATATTTACCTAAAAAATAACAAACATACATGATACTGAAAACAAAATTGTTTTGCTGACTTGGAACAAATATATTTTCCACGCTACTGACTCTTGCTCCCGCCGTTAATCTACACGTATCTATTTTATGTTACTAATGTCTTTTATTTAATACACACTATTATCAACATTGACACAATAATTGCATAATATCAATATTCACTTAAACTTTAATTGTTATTTAATTTAATTGTATAATTTCTGAATTTGAATCTATACGTATTCGATTTTACAATTACTGCGGATAAGTATGTTGTAAAATGTGTCGTAGTTGCCATAAAAACAATTGGTAACATTATGTTAGTTACTTATTTGCTACAGTTTATGTTTGCTGTCATTGGAGTGCAGCTATTTAAGGTAAATTTCGATTTAAGCTTATCTCTACCGCAAACAACCAAGAATATGTATATAATATATATATATATATATATATATATATATATAAGTTACATTTTATTTCATTACGAAATACTAAAAAAATGTTTTTTTGTGCTAAGCACGTTTTTATTGTGGAAAGTACAAATTTCAACTAACTTAACATTAGCTTAGCTTAAAGCTTGCCATTCTTCCCTTCTCACATGCACTTGACACGTGAGTTACCTGCATTCCTAGACATATCGTCAGCGGGATTTGTGCTTCGCGTGGGAACGTCATTTCCAATGTCTTTTATGTTCACTCTTCCCCCCTTAATTTCTGCAGTGTCCTCACTGTTGCACTTTGAAATGCTGATATTATCATGTTCTGTTTTATTTTGTGTTTGAATAATTATCTCAAATTTTTTTCTTGAAATGTAGATTTTGTATGATAATAAGCTGAAGATTATGGTGAAAATGATAAAATTTTTTGCTAAACTAGCACCGTATTTATATTTGATTTCTCTCAATTGTTCGGTATTAGTAATGTGCAATTCTTTTAGCATCTGTAAAGATAACGCTTCTTTAAATATATTGGTTGTATTTGAAGTTTGTGCTATTGCAGGTAATGATCTAGACTGCTTCTAATTATCTAGTTTTGTACAATGATAGTTGAATTGCTATGGTGAATCAGGAAGGTTCCTTGAAGTGTCATAGATCTATTGTCCATTATAATCGTTAAGTAACAGAATATTGGATGTGATTTCTTTTATGGCTGGCAAATGTTGGTTGTTGGTGGTGGTGCATGTTGAAGGCAAGCTTTTTATTAACTTATGAATACAAATAGAACTACAATAGTAATATTGACAAAATTTAATGACTTACAAATAGATATTCCACTAAAACTACTACAATCATTCTTAATTCCTAATATTTCTTTTCTACACAATAATATACTTCCAAATTCTAATTTAATACTAACATTTTTCATTTTTGCAGGCTTTAACAATATTTTTTGACAATTTGTTTTTCGGTTATTGGTAATGATACAATGCATGACAAAGTTGTTTGATTTGGAGCGATTTTTACATTGCTTAATTCGAGAGCTTCTATTAGATTGATGGAAGGCATTTTTTGTTCCTCAAAAATATTATTCGTTAGATTGACTTCAAAACTTGATAAAATGAATGAGTTGATAATGCCTGCTTTTGCCCATTGTATTGAGTAATCTATCTGAATTAATTCCTCTTTGATAACTTTCAATTTACGTTCTATATTTCTTATTATTTCTCTTTTTGCTATTTCGCTTGATTGAACCGTATTTAGAAGAGTATTAGTAATTTTTGAAATTTCATTTAACCGGTCGATTATTAGTCTATTGATTACTACCTGCTTATCATTATTAACTAATAAGTTATTATTCTGATCAGATATCAGTTGAAAATCATGGTCTGGTGAACCTGCTAACCACTTCCAAGCAGTCCCAAGAATGTTCAAGGATCGTTTTTGTCTAGAATTGAGTCTATAAAGTATGTTTTTAGTAGATCGATATCATGTTTAAGTAAGAGGTAAGAATTGTCCTTAGGCGTTATGTAGTTTTTTGTTGTTGTTTCTATGTCCATAATTGCGTCTTCATATTGGTCGGGGTTAATGAAATGTATCAGTTTGAATGTATCAGTTTGGAAAAGGGCGATTCCGATATCGACTGCGATTATTTGGGAATTACTGTAATCCAAAATTTGTGTCTCGCAATGACATTACGTTAATAATTTCATTATCAAAAGATTTGTCCTATAAAAATTGTCATCTTTGCCTGTAAAAGTAAATCATTATCTTTTATTAGCTAACTATTTTTTATTATTAAGGATATTAAGGTATTTTTAATTTTATTGAATGCTTTTAATGCTTCTTCGTTTAATAATATTTATTTCCATTTTCTTAGATTTATTTTTGGGAACGCTTCCGGCTTCTCCTTGAAGTAGGGTTGTCAGAGGCTTTGCTAACTTAGAATAATACTGAATAAATCTTTAATAATATCCTGACATACCTTAAAAAGATCTTAATTGTTTTATGTTACGGGGGATTGGAAATTGAGCTATAGCTTTTATTTTTTTGAGGTTTGTTTTTATTCCTTCAGAACTGCTTACATATCCTAGAAATTCTACTTCCTTCTTTGCAAATTCACATTTATCTCATTGAATTTTCATGTTAGCCTTTTCTAAAGTTTCGTCAATGTATACGTAACAACAAGTTCCTATATGTTGGCGAAGGATATCATCTAAAGCTCTTTGAAAGGTAGATGGAGCATTTTTAAGGCCGAAGGGTAATCGCAGGAATTCAAATTTTCCATTGTTTAAGGAAAATTCCGTTTTTTCTATATCTGCATCACGAAGTGGTATTTCATGGAAACCACTTTTTCAATCTATTACTATAAATAATTTATTATGGCCTAGATTCGAAAGAACTTCATTGATCTCTGGAATCGGATACCTGTCCGGTATGGTTATTGAGTTTAATTTTCTGTAGTCGATAACCGTTCTATACTTCTTTTCGCCTGAAGCATCCATTTTCTTATCGACTATCCACACAGGGGAGTTATATGGAGATTTCGATTGTCTTATTATCCCATTTGAGAGGAGTTCTTCGATTTGCCGTTCGATTTCTTCTTTTAGAGCCATAGGGTAAGGATATGGCCTGGAATATACTGGATTTTCATTAATTGTCCTAATTTTTCCCTTCCCGTTGTGGTGTAGGTGAGTTTTTCATCGGGGTCAGCGAATAAATTGGGGCAGATTATTTAATCACAAGTGATATCAGTTCCTGCTTCCTTTAATTTATGTTTGTTCTCGATGCTGATGACCCTAAGATTTACTCAGTAATTAAAACCTGATTGATTCAATTAGAATTAGACAAACTACATTTAATGTATCACGAATCAATTATTGTTGAATATTAAATATTATCTTTTTCTCCTTCTTTACTGGCGTAAGCACTCCCACGCGATCATAACCGAGTTAACAACATTGCACCATTCGGTCTTTATTTTCGCTGTTTTGTGCCAATTGAAAATATCAAGTACAGCCAGATCCTTCTCTGCCTGGCCAAGAAGGTCTTCCTCTTCCTCTGCATCCTCTGGCAAGCGCTGCATCGAAAACTTTCAAAGCTGGAGTATTCTTATCCATCCGGACCCATATTACCTATCAGCGCTCCCTCTGTTTCTTGACTGCATTGACTGTACAGGAGATGCACCATTCGGTCTTTATTTTCGTTGTTTTGTGCCAATTAGAAATATCAAGTACAGCTAGATCCTTCTCTGCCTGGCCAAGATGGTCTTCCTCTTCCTCTGCATCCTCTGGCAAGCGCTGCATCGAAAACTTTCAAAGCTGGAGTATTCTTATACATCCGGACCACATTACCTATCAGCGCTCCCTCTGTTTCTTGACTGCAGAGACTGCACAGGAGATGATTCGTCTTGCTTTTGTTAATTACCAGACCCATATTCTTTGCTTTCTTATCAAGTCTGGTGAAAGCTGAACTCACGGCGCGTCTCCAGCCGCTGTACATTTTTATGAAAGATTGTACAATCTCTGTTCAGCTCTGAACCTTTTATTATTTTCTCCAGTAATAAATTAAAGACGTCACAAGATGAGAAATCAACCTCTATCTCGGTATCGAACGGCTCGGAGAGGTCCTTCCCAATCGTGGTTTTCTGACAAAGTGTGTCGATCCTCTTTTCGCGAGTCTTTTCAAGAATTTACGCATGGTTAATACCTGGTCAATGTTTGATTAACCATGTCAAAAGAAACACTGGTAAAGTTCAATCAGTATGTTGACGCTGAGCTTTAATATTTACTACATTGCGCTCGATAAGTCTTTATATATGATACTTAGTAGTCAGACTGCTTTCTCTTCACTGCGTTATGGCAGTCCTCATCACACTAGCTGTTCTTGCAACATTCCCGAAAAGTTTTGTTTGCTACTGTATGAAGGGATCTAGAAATAGCTACCTAATTTCTGTGTACCGAGTTGCTGATGAGTGCTCTCAGAGAGAAGGAGCGAAAGTCGAGTAAAAAAGCATTTGAATGCTTCCTAGTGTTTGTTGACGGGCGTTCTTCAATATACAAAGGCGGGTGAGTATCTTCGCTGAGACAAAACAGTTGTCCAAGTCGATATTACGTCCTCTGAGTGTACGCACGTCTGGGCACATGTCGTCTATCACAACATCACCTCTTTGGCTTTGTGTTTTCTCCCAAGGGACAGCCAAGTACTTTGAAGTGTGTTCTTGTGCTGGAGTCTAATACTAAAGACTACCTTATTTTTGGTCGCGCCAAAGTCGATCAGCCTCAAATAATTTAAAAATGTCTCATTATGGAAGCTGAATTTTTCGACGGTTGTTCCGAAGATACCTCGTTGAGCTTACATTCTCTAATGTACTTGATTCCCATAGCGGTACATTTCCGGGTTTATTCTCAATTTCGTTTCTGAAATTACCGATGTACTTTTTTAACAAAACTAGATAATTCGATTGTCCCCCTTCTTATGGAGACCGTTGCACATATAAGCCGCATAGAACGAGTACAGAAATTTTTCATAAAATTTTCTTTATGATCATTTAATTTTCCTGCATTCTTCCTTCAGATCACAAAGGCATTGCGCCTGATTTTGAGTTATTAGCTTCTGGGTCCAATAGGGATCAATCGATTGTTCTTAATCGTTTGGTCTATTCCAAATCCCAGACGTGTAACTCTTTTTTATGTTGGGTTTAAAAAATTGAATTGTACTCCGTTTTATAATTACCTTAAGCAGTCATAAATCTGATTTCCTCATAATTAGTAATAATAAATAATAATTAATTGCTCACTTGACTTAAATTAAATTTTTTTGAAAAATTGCCTGTAATTAATTCGGATAATTATGAGCTAAGTTAGGCAAAGAAGAACTCGTGCGAACAGGTTACTAGCGTCAATAAATTTTCTTTGAAGGACTATTGCGAACTGCGCTCAT